TGAACTTCAGCAGATAGGACTTGGAGTTGTTCAATTGATTAAGATTTAACAAAAGATAAAACTGAGGTAATGGTTTTTGGAGCCAAGGCAGAACATATAAAAGTTAGCGCTGCGCTTCAGTCTGCAATGTTCAAAACAACATGAAGCCAGAAATCTAGGTGTAGTCATGGACTCTGACCGGAGTTTCAACAGTTACATTAAAACAGTTACTAAATCAGCCTGCTATCACCTAAAGAATATATCTAGGATTAAAAGACTAATGTCACAGCAGGATTTGGAAAAACTTGTCCATGCTTTTATCTTCAGTAGACTCGACTACTGCAATGGTGTCTTCACAGGTCTCACTAAAAAATCTATTAGAAAGCTGCAGCTGATTCAGAACGCCGCTGCTCGAGTCCTCACTAACACTAAGAAAGTGGATCACATCACTCCTGTTCTGAAGTCTTTACACTGGCTTCCTGTGTGTCAAAGAATAGATTTCAAAATACTGCTGCTGGTTTATAAAGCACTGAATGGTTTAGGCCCAAAATACATGTCTGACCTCCTGCTAAATTATGAACCATCCAGATCTCTCAGGTCTTCAGGGACTGGTCAGCTTTCTGTCCCCAGAGTCAGAACTAAACATGGAGAAGCAGCGTTCAGTTATTATGCTCCAAATATCTGGAACAAACTCCCAGAAACCTGCAGGTCCGCTACAACTCTGACTAATTTTAAATCCAGGCTGAAGACTTTTCTTTTTGTCGCTGCTTTTAATTGAACTATTCATATCTTAGACTGCACTGTAACTTTTATCCATGTACTTTTTCTTTTAATGTTTATTTTATTAGCTTTTCTTTTTAATGACTGATTTTAAATGCCATTTTCTTAATGTCTTTCATTTTTTGTAAAGCACTTTGAATTGCCTTGTGTTGAAAAGTGCTATATAAATAAACTTGCCTTGCCTTGCCTAAGACAGATTCTCTCGGTTTAAAGTTTGCTAGAGGTGAAACAAATTACAAAAACTACACCTTTTAGGGATTAGACTCTAACCAGACTACAAATATTGCATGAAGACCATCAGTATATTATCTTTGTTCTGCACTAGGGGGAGGTAGAGGAACATGCCATTCACATTGTGTTATTTATCATAGTAGTTTGGGTTCTGTTAAATATACGATATAAAACCTATGTATAAAACGTAATAATGTGTCATGATGAATATGTGCACATTTGATTTATTTCCAAGTTAAGGTGGTGGTTATGGCCCTGCATTATCCCTTTGAAGAAAATATGTCATATAAAAAAGAAATTGGGAAATATGAGATCATTGTGACTTTAATGATTCTAAAATGTGTATTTGCATGTCATGACATTCATCTTGATTGAGCCTTCAATCACCTGACCATTTTTGCACTCCAACATTGTCATTGATGGGATATATCTCCATATGTATTAAGTGTGGAGGAAACTTCTGAAGCAATTGGAAACAGGACTCAGAGAGACATGAGGAGAGCTGGAGCTTTGATGGCAAACACTGACGGTTTATTTGGAGCTTCGGCCGGAAAATTCACAAGTCATGTTATGGGCCACGATCTGACCACACAGTTGAGATGCCAAACCAATTCAGAAGAACTCTCCTGTAGTTCCAGGCAGGGGCGCCGTAAGGGGGTGAAACGTTAGGACGATTCTAAGGGCACGTGACTGACAGGGGCCCAAACAATTTTAGAACATTAAGAAAAAACGTTTAAATAACCTTTCATCATTCATCAATAATTAACATTAAAGGTGGGGTAGGTAATTTTGGAAAAGATCTGCCACTTCCTTACAGAGCCCCTCCTCCAACACACACGAACGCTCACATGACCAATGAGGGCACGAGATAAGTTTGTGCACAGATGGAAGGCTGACAGGCAGGTAGGCCATGCAGTTATTTTAGCCGGGCCGGCTAAAATGATTGGTCGTGCTTTTTACAGTACTACGGCTTCCACAGATGACATTTTTTTATGGATTTTTGTCAAAGCACTTAAGATATTCATTGCTATCGGGATGTTAAGAGCATTCCATGGAATATAACAAAAAGTGTATCTCGCGCCGGTTTCTCAAACGTACCTACCCCACATTTAATAGAACGCGATATTGATAATGTACTCACTAAACTTACGATTCATTTAACTTATTTTCTTCCAAAAGTTAATTATCCAAAGCCTCTGTACACCCCCCTCTATTTACATGTAATGGCTTGGTCCTGCCTCCAACCGCCGTGCAGGCGCAGCACGGGCACTTTCTAGCAGAGTGAGAGCATGTGAGGAGGGATGCTACTTATGTGCATGTCTCAACGACTAACAAAGTCAGGCTTTCAAAAAAGAAAAGAAAGGAGAGAAAGACAAGAGAGAGGGACTAAAGACATTTAATAAATGCAGGTACATTTTTAGCAGCTATTCATACTAAATCCGTTGTCCCTGCCAGGACCAACAGATCCATCTACTGTAGGCTCAGCAGCCCTGTCCCTCCATAATGCTGAACCTGAACCAGCTTTTCTCCCAACTGAAGGAGGTGAGCAGCATTGTGTTGAATGACATGCCACTTAACATATTTGAAGGGAGACTGGAATACAAAATATATATATATCAAAACACAAAGCTAACATCTAATTTCACACACAGTATTTTTCCACATATTTAAGTTATATTTATGCATTCTTGTTGAGAATGTTTCATTCAAAAATGTTATTATTAAAAATGCATTTACACCATAAAAGATGACTATTGAGATCTATTGTCAGGAATGTTAGTCTTATATCAAATAGTGAATTCTACTGCAGCAGAAACTTGTACGTCTGCACAGTGTTATATTTTCACAGCTCAGTGTCAGTAAATATTGTGCAGTTAGTATTGGACTACAAGATAGATGCAAGCCTGTACAGCAGGGGTGCCCAACCTTTTTTGAACCGAGAGCTACTTTTAAAATTGCCAGTCTGCCGAGATCTACCAGTCCAAATAGATGGGCGTAGCCATTACTGACAGCCTACTACCAGGTAAATACACACTTCTACTTGTATAAAACTGACCTTTGTACGATTAACACTTCATAAAATACTGCAGATCCTTTATCTTACCTCTTTCTAATCTACACACATACAAGTATTTAACTGAAGTTACACAACAGTGTTGTTGATACAGAGTTGGAGTTTATTCACACGTCACATACTACAGTGGGTAATGTTTTCAAGAAACATTGAACAGTGCTGCCACATATGACACAGGAAGAAAAGAAAATACTCTGAACCCTTTCTTTGCCATTATATAAAAAATAGTGTTGCTACAAAAGTATAAATTAGGCTTACTAATAAAACAACTCAGATCTGAAGCTACACAGGAATCTGCTGCAACAGTGCAATAAAAAAGACAAAATGAATAGAATCAAACCCTTTTTTTGTTGCATTTTAGTAGATTATAAAAAGAAATGCCTTTAAAATAGGATGCAAGCAACACTAGTTTCTTAACCTGAATTGATAATAGACTATAATCAATTTAAGTTTGCATTATTATACCATTTTGTACAATAATTATAATGAATAAGTTCAAACAAACTAAAACTTACAGCTGATTAATAACGGTATCTAACTTGAGTTTTTATCATGTCAAAAACCTGTTGAAATGCTACTGTTATTTTTATTACGCATCGGCAGCCTCCAGGAATGCTTCTTTCACAACTTCGCCGTCTTTGAAAGACTTCATGTGTTTCGCAAGAACGTGACTGACACGATAAGATGCTATGGTAGCAGCCTTGCTCTTGTTGTTGGGCCTGGTGGAAATGGACTGCTGTGCATGTAGCTGTCCTTTCAGGCCCCTCCCCTTTTGGAGCGTAGGGCAGAATTAGGAGGGAATTCCGTCTCTTAGCGTTTGTGCACTGTTTTGAAATGCCGCTCCTAAATTACCCTTCTTCGATAAAGCCACGCTCACATTGCAGATGAGACAGATGGACTTTGAATTGGAATAGATACAAAAATAATCATCCTCCCACTCGGAGTGAAAATGATATATGTTTTGCTTCTGCCATAATTGCGGTCTTGTGTGTGCGGACTGTCACTCCTACGGACAACGTTAGCGAACTAGTGCACTGCCCACTGTTCACCAGCCACGCCCCGACACATGGGGTCACGCCGGCCAATCACAAAGCTTTGATGCGTTCAAGTGCATTATTCTGCCACAGGAAGATTATGTTACAGGACATTAACGATAAAACAGAATATTGTTGTTCTATTTTTAGACACATCTCGCGATCGACTGGGAATCTCCCCGCGATCGACCGGTCAATCGCGATCGACTGGTTGGGCACCCCTGCTGTACAGGTAGAGTTATAAATGAGTCGGTTGGGTTCTGGAGGTGTGGTTACAGCAATTGTGCTTACAGCAATTGTGCTTGGTTGGCGTGGGGCCCAATGTGATATCTTTTCATGGGGCTCAAAATCCCTGGCGGCAGCGCCCCTGGATCCAGGTTTTAACTAGTTCGGAGTGTAATAATCAACATTCTTCAATAGATAGACTAAACAGCTGAGGACACTGAATCACATTTGTTGTCGCTTATGGCTCGGGTCATCTACACCCCAAGAAGGATGTGTTCCAGGTGTCCCATAACAATAACTATCTCTGACCGAGAGTTGCCCGGTCATAAACTGGTAACATCAACAATATGCTAGGCCAGCCCCTCCTTAAGGGAGATAGCAGCTGCCCAAGGTTGGGGCATCTGCGTCAGAGGGCGAAGCAGGACATGCAAGGTAAATTATTCCTATTTCTGACATTAAGGCCTTTTGTTCAACTTGGTGCAGAACATTTAGATAACAAATTCTTCACAGGCACGAGGGCCTCAGAGACCAATCAAAATGTGTTATTGTATGGCTCCGGGCAGTCACTCATGAGTCATCAGGGGGCAGGGCCACACAAACATAGGCTGTATACCAGCCTGGTAAAGGTACAACACAATGTAGCTTTACTGGTTCAGTCATGTGAGGCTTGACATCTATTTGATACTGAAAATCCTTTATGTGTAACAAATGTAATCATAAGCATCAAAGGGGTTAACAGAGACAATAGACATGACTAGATCTAATTAAAACAATCATATTACAAAAATGCTACAAAACCATGTAACCAATTTTACCACTTTTGTCCAATTAATGAATGTACAGAGTTTGTTGTTGTTTTGTTTTCCTAAAGCTACAGTTTTTATTTTCCCATAAGAAACTGAACAGAGCTGTAGAGATATTACAGAGTCTAATCTTCTTTGCGTGGCCAGCTTCCTTTTTTAAAGAAGTCAAAGTTCAGTGTTTCTGAGTTAACTTAATTGTACAGCTTGAGGCATTCCACACAGCGACCTGCAAATTCAAGAAGAAAAAAATGTTAGTTTAGTCAATAGACTCATGATGAGATAAGGTTGTAGTTCTACTCCGTAATGAGATATTCTGTTGTAACTTTCTGATGACACACACACATACACTTTTTCTGAAGATGCAAGTACATAGTCTGATCTTACCTCGCTTCGTCTTTGGTTGTATCTGCAAAGACACAAATAGCTATGTCTCTCTCCAAAATCTGTTGTTTCAACGCCTGAATTTCTGCTGCTGCCTTCAGTTTAGCCTCTTCATGACCTGCTGAGGAGAAGACAGAGTAGAGGGATACACATTTTATAAATGTCCTTATTTAATACACAATAAATAAGTGAAATGGGAGAGGCAACTGTGCTAGGATTTTTTCTAGCTCAGATGAGAGAATGAAACAAATGATATCATAATGATAGTGTGCCTGCATGCATTGCTGGCACATCTGGTTCCACTGGTTTATCATAGTGTGGTTTCATGCTGATATACCAGCTCTAATCCAGTCTGTGGCTGTAGTCCAATAGTCGAAAAACAAACTTCCTTACTACTCTTCTTTGAACTCATTGGAAAACGCAACAATGTCAAAAAAAGAAATAAAAGATCATTCATAAAGGCTTAAAAAAAGACATCGTCCGGGACAGGAAAATCCCACTGCACTCTGACTAAAAGCAATGTAATAAGGAATATGGTAAAGTGACTAAACTAAACGCCTTGTAATTCAAGCAAAAATTCCTGTCCAAAACCGAATGACACCCTCTTAGAAGGATGTTTTCAATTATGCATTGTGTCAAATCTCCTTCCCTTTGGTAAAGGATGATCCAGTGTACCCTATATTAAAGAAAATAAGAAAGGAAGTACTTTTCTTTCGCCTTTTAGAAATACGACCAGCTCTTATCACGGCTTCCTCTGAATAGGCTATACTTGTTGGTAATTTCACTCAGTTAGGAACCTTCAAAGAGGGTATTCAACTCCAGCATTAGTATTTCTCCACTCCACCTTTAAAAGGGTGTAGGTCCTCATTATGGATAGTCTTGTTCTCTTACTGTATATTGATCAGTTTGGGATTGACCAATATTAATGCACAGAATCACACTTTTAACATATCAGCTGCCTTACCTTTAAGGCCTTCAATAGCAGCTTCCGTTTCTGTCTTCTTGTTCTCGGCTCCTACCTAATAAAGGCAAAGTTGTAGTATTTGTCAGCAGTTGAATATATGAGAAACAAAATAAGGTTAAATAGAAAAGGGCTGTCCTTCACCAAATAAATAAATTTACCTACATAGAATCATGCAAAAGCACCACTTTAAGTATTGTGTCTGCCAGAGACCTGCTCATAGATGGTTTGAAAAAACATAAAATTGACTAAAGAAATGTTAGTTGTGTAGAGGGTCTCTTACACAAGAATCATAAATGAAAAACTTGGATGTGACCAAATAATGAGGATCCTGTCATGCCAACTTCCCAATGTCAATATTACACTTGTGTGCATCCTGGAGAGTGGTAGGCTACTTCCCTGTTAAAGTTGGTATGATTTAAAATTTAAAAAGACAGTAAACCTACAAATGCGTGTGTGTGTGTGTGTGTGTGTGTGTGTGTGTGTGTGTGTGTGTGTGTGTGTGTGTGTGTGTGTGTGTGTGTGTGTGTGTGTGTCTTACCTTCTCACTGTTACAGCTCTGAACACGTTGGGTGAAGTCCTTTGTTAATTGTTCAATGTCTTGCTTCTTCTTCCTGATATTTAGTATGCTGGTGTTCATTTGTATCACCGTTTTCTTCCGCTGCTCGATCTCGGTTTTCAGCACGCCGATGGCATGCTCTTCCCTCACCCTCTCCGCCTCGCTGTCCACAATGCGGGCTCTGAAATTAATCAGTTTAATCTCCTGGTGTCCGGCCTGGAAAATCACGACCGACATGACACCCACAGTCAGCAAGAGAAAAACGTGCGCGATCTTCATCTTGACGGCGAAATAAGTAAATTAGTGGTGTATACAGCTGCTGGTCCCTTTGTTGTGTCTCCACCTGCTCTCTCCCTCAGTACGACCTGTCTGTTTACTGTACCTGTTCTACCTGCTCAACAGGCTGGGCGTGACAGTCCTATTATTTCCTCCTGTGACTCGCCCTCTTCTGCGGCGGCCAAACAAACACTTTGGATGGTTAGGCATTATATTATATTATACTGCCGGATTGCAACAATACTGCATTTAAAATGTGCAACATGGATCATAGGCCTTTGTGATTGTAAAACAAGCTATTTTCCAAAATGTCAGAATAAATGTTCTTGTTACTTGTTGGTTAAAATGTAGCCTAACTGTATGAACACAACCTCCTCCTTAAATAAATATCTATGATAGTTTTGATTATCACTGTTCTGTTGAATCAAGTTTGGGACTTATATGTATTCAATAATGCTTTAGAAATAACAGAGGCTTTTGATATTTTGTGTGCCTTCTGTAACTCCAATCTAAACATTTTACTTTTGTTGTTTGTTACAAAGAAAAATACAGAGCAAATGTATTGTGGCCTTGGGATTTTTTTTAAAATAAGATAATATGTTTACCATGAATCCTAATTTTTAGTAGAACACAGGGAGTGTCAGTCATTTGAAAGGATAGACACATATTTTCAAATAGCTGTGTCTATTTTTTTGTTAAACACAACAATTAGCCTAGTGTTACTTTCTTAAAATGGTGGTAAAAATACATGTTCCCCTACAATGGTTTAAGAAATAACATTTTGCTGTAATCATTTATTCTAGGGGTGCCTTGGTAGCCCATACAGGCCTATAGCCCAGGTTATATGTGGGTTAAGGGTAAAGAAGATGTGTAAATATCAGTCTATTCATCACTGTCTCTAGATATAATGTAGCATTAGAATCAGGCTTTATATTGAAAAAGATAGGCAATTCTCTCGTGAGACAAAGTACGTTGTTGTATTCAACGAGATAATAACACTATGCAAATAATTAGTCCTGTGAGCTCCACTTTGCCCTCTCTGCCAACAGAGACACAGTGATAGTAAAAACAGGGTATATGTCCATCTATTTGCATTTTGTTTTTGTTGCAAGGGGAATATTGCAGGATATGGTGCGCAGGACAGGACCGGTGACACCTGTCTCCTCTCAGATCCAGGAAGAAGGCGTGTTTTCTAGTGACAGCTGGGATTCAGCGGAGCTCTCACACAGCACACGTTTATGTCCAATCAAAGAGTGCAGGTGAGTCAGCCTCCTCCACTCACTGACTGTAATTCTGCCCACAAAGAGAGCTATCACCTGGGCGACACGGACAGCAGACACCCATCCCCACCGACAAACAGCTCTCTCCAAGAAGTCTCTCAGCTGCCGTGAAACATGAGGGTGATAATCCTGATACCTGTGACAATAGCCTTGTCTGTCGCCTTGTTAGGCTTCACGAAAATACGGAAAAAGTACCGCGACAGAGAGGAAAAACAGAGCAGGTTTCGGGATGTCAAGCTGAGGCTGACCAACGAAATGCTGCAAGAGTATCAGAGAGAAGTGACCGAGGCGAAAGACCACATGGAGACGACCACAGCTGACCTGAAGGCGCTCACGGAAGAAATTGAAACGCTCCAGTCCAACGCAGATAAGGCGAAGAATGAAGCGGACATCTGCAATGGAGAAAAGGTGGGGAGAAACTGAAAGTTGCAAGCACAGAGAGGAAAGCATACCAAGTTATATTGGATTTAGTGTACAGAATATTGTGTCATACTAAAAGGGAATGACATGTTTAACTGTTGAAAGAGGAAGTTAAACTTCAGGGGTTAACTATACAAAACAAAATGCTAGCATTTCTTTACAAGCTGTATACAATTCAACACCTGGCTCCTTATGGCCATTTGAATAGACTTTGTAATGTAACTCTAATCTTTTTTCTGATTTGATTCGTATCAAGACAAATACCTACAGGGCAAAAAACACACAACCTGTTGGACCTGCTTAAAGGAAAATCACACTTGCCTTGTTCTTTCAGAGCTTGCTGGTAATCGGCCTAGAGACAAGAGTACACTCCTGCAATGGTTTACTTTTTCATACATTAGTGATACCCATTTATTGTTTGCTTTCGTAGGCATGCATGAAAATGTGTATCACATAAAAATAAACACTCAAACTGCTTTGTGCAGATCCAGTTACTTTTATGACAGGAGTTCTCAGAAATGTAATGTGGATGTCAGAAAAAAGTAGCTGCATTAAAGTTAGGCCTAATTGTGTACAAGTTGCAGTCTGTGTGGAGAAGATTTATCCACACAAAAAACTCACTTGTTTTGTGTCATGGACATTTGCTTTTCCACTTTAGAAAATGGTGGCAGATCAGCTGGTGTCAGTCGAGACGCTATTACAAAATCTCCAAGGTATGTGCCAATGTATTGGACTAAATGCTGAAAAGTATAAATGTATAAAATATCAGAACACATGGTCTGCAAAAGAGAATGTTGCTTTATCTATACAGAATATTGTGTTCAGATTGCTATTACATGCATTTATCTTTATAGTAAAAATGGATCTTCAAGTAATGGTCATGACCCTGGCTGTATTTATGAACCACAACAAATTCCTCATGTCATATCATACCTACAGCTGAGCTCAATACGATGCAGACCGGATGGACAGCCGAGGTGGAAACACTCAAACAGCAATTGGCAGCGAGGAGCGCAGTGTGTGACTTTTTGAAAGCAGGATCAGCAGATGCAAGGTAGAGTTACTACTTACCATATGATAAAGTATATTGGTAAAAATAACACATACCATTTTCTGCACTGGAACATTAATGGTGATAGCTACTGTATTTATATACTGCATTTTATCTTGAAGTAAACTGTGTGGCGAGGAACCAAAGGCAGAGGTCCCTAAACCAGAGGGACCAAAAGCAGAGGCCCCTAAACCAGAAGAACCAAAAGCAGAGGCCCCTAAACCAGAGGAACCAAAAGCAGAGGCCCCTAAACCAGAAGAACCAAAAGCAGAGGCCCCTAAACCAGAGGAACCAAAAGCAGAGGCCCCTAAACCAGAAGAACCAAAAGCAGAGGCCCCTAAACCAGAGGAACCAAAAGCAGAGGCCCCTAAACCAGAGGAACCAAAAGCAGAGGCCCCTAAACCAGAGGAACCAAAAGCAGAGGCCCCTAAACCAGAGGAACCAAAGGCGGTGGCCCCTAAACAATAAGAGGCTAAACCTGTTTTTCCACTCACTCAGAACACATTATCTCTATAAGAAAACCAAATCTGTTCTTGATACGTGTCAACGAGATTCCAGCACAGAACGGTGAACTCATGGTTTTATTATGAACACATCACCACTGTGCATATTTCAGCCCTTGTGTTTCAGGATATTTATTAACACTACACAAACACACAACAGTCAGGGTGTGGGTAATGCTTCACTAAACTGTATCCTGGTTGCACAGGTTTAATGTTTAATGTTGGCAAACTGTGTGGCTGAGACATACGAGACACAGTAAGTAGAAATAATAAGTTGATCACATCCCATGGTGCGGCCAAGTGTCCTTTTTTTATTGAAAACATGCAGGTTTACTTAATTATCAGCCACAAAGCAGCCATTCCTGCTTTTCAAAACCCAATTGATTTTTTTTAATATATATTTATATGCGTTTAAAACAATATGTAATTATACATCTATATTTATATATGCGATTGGACTGCATGTAAATAGGGGTTGATGGGAAATGCAAATGAACCAGGAAAAAGGTCTGTTTTTATTTGCACTGTTTCAACACTGTACCTTGTTACGTTTCTTTTGCTTCTGTAAATGATTATTATTTCTGTCCTTAAGTTTTTTCCCCCTCTGTTAGATAACTCCTCCATGTACAATGTTGAAAACACAGAAATAGGTATTGAATAATCGTTGTCAACCTTGTCTGCCTCTCTGTCTTTTGAGTGACCCTGCCTCAGGGGTGTGTGTGTGTGTGTGTGTGACAGAGGGCGAGACCAAAGCACCGACCAATCGGAGAACACACAGCCTCGGTCCTTCTCTCTCTATAAGCTTCACTCTGTTAGCCTGATGAGGCTCTGGATGTGCACTCTGTGGTCTCGCTTCAAGCTTCATCATGTATTTCTGTTAGAGATTTTAATAAAATGTTCTGCCTAAACTGTTCTTTACAGAATAATCTTGATAAGAGGAAAAGTACTTTAAGACGTTATTTTAATATGTTGTTTATTTGTGCTTTTTGGATTCATATTGTACTAACAGAAATCAGCTTTGTAAAAAGTTCCCGGTGGATATTTGAGCATATTTTCATTATTCTGGAACATTTGAACAAAAAGTAACTATAGGGTTAATAAATTCCTCTTAGTTTATATTGCAGGATGAAGGTTTTGTATTTAGGAGGAGAAGGTGTTTTTTCCTGCTTGATGGTCTCAGATTACAGTTTTTCTCGATTGCTAACACACGTTTTTTTTTTTAATTGCTCAGTTTCTCAGAACACTAAACACAATTCACAAAACCACACACCCAAAGTGCAAAACACCTAATTTCTCCTGCTAAATGAAGAACTGCACTCAAAACTACATACACACTTACCAAATGCAAACTTTAGCACCAAATATAACACACTTCATTCATAACACTAGATCGTTTGACCACCCAACTACACACTGCTGAGCGTAATCTAAAGCACTTCCATCTGTTATGGGCTATGCTCTGTACATAGAGGTTTCTGCAGAGAAAGATTGCTTGAGTTTACAGAAATATAGTAAATGAAGAAATACAAATGAGTTGTTGAAATAAATCACATTTTATTAAAATATAACATTGTGCAACATGCATCTCAGCACATAGTTACTATGCTTCAGATCTCTCTAAGTGTGATGGCATTGTTTGCCAAAACCCAGTTTGTAACTGCTGCTTCCTGTGCCTCATTGAACATCCTTGGCTTTCCACCTCTTTGTTTCTCAGTCCTTCAGATAAACAACAAAGACAAAGTGGTCGGTCAGTGTCTGTGTTGCATAACAGTTAGTTTACCACAGTACATTGTGCAGGATTGTTGTACAGTTATAGTATGCAACGTGCCAACAATTCAATTAGAGTAATGAAGTAAATACCTTTCACACAACAGATATAAGCACTGAGATATCATGAATTATGCAGAGCTACAAACTGGTAACTAACCTGTTTTCAAGTCTAAGTGTCCGGATTACAGAGGCAACAGTAAATCGGCTTAGATTAGGCTGAACCCTCCGTCCAGCCTCTCTCATCGTCAAACCATGGTTGATAACATTTCATTTCATTAGAGAGTACTCTTCTTTGTCCACGTCCTCTCCCTCCACCTCTACCTCTCATTCTTCCTCCTCTCACTCTCACCCACCTCTTCCTCTTCCTCTTGCTCTTCCTCTTGCTTCCATGTTGACTTCCATTGTTGCTGTAAGAAAGTACTCACCTGTGGTCTTTTTATAGTGCTACCATCCTGATTGATGAGCCAACAATTATGCTACCAGGTGTTTGGTCAGGTGGAATGTGTTTCTTGATCATTGGTCCATGTGTGAGGTCTTTTGAATATCAGTGTTTTAAACCTGCTCACACGTGACTTTATGTCAGATTCCTGTGTCTTACGTGGAGAAACGTGTGCAGTGGTTTGCAAAAAGTGCTTTGTTGATTTGCAAATTGTGTGAAAAGCTGAAAACGTGTTTAGAGTTTTGGAGATTTGAGCCGATGTTTTGCTCTTTGAGTTAGTCAGTTAAAAATAATTGTGCTTTATGTAGAATTTTAGTGTGTTAGCAATCGAGAAAAACTGTAAATTTACATTCAATGTGTTTATACTTATTGGTCATGATAGTTAGACGGGGCTGCATAGATCAATTTATCTTTATTTTCAATATGTTCATATTATTCTGTTTGTAGTTATTTTGTTATGTGATGCAATAGAGTAAAGATCGAATCCCCTGGTGCGAACAAGCTGTTGTTCACAAGTCATTTCCCATATTTGAATGTTAAAATGTGGATTTGAACATTTTATTTTCTGAAATTTCTTTTTTACACCTTAAACAGCACCTTATTTTATCCCAGATTAGGCAGAAGAACGCAAAAAGGAATAATCCTGGCTATACTTTCATACTTTGATTGAATTCGATTTTTTTGTGCTGTATCCTTACAAGCATTTATTTTAAATACATCAGTTGAACTGAAGCTATCAGTAGAATATAGACTAAAATCTGCATGGGTAATATTTGAACCTTTAAAAGCAGAATAACTTTGGCTTTAATCAGAGGTAATATTTGCTCTGAGTATTTTATATCTTGGACTTAAAATGACTTGAATTAGTCTGAATATAGTGGATTCCTTTTTTAATCCACATTTAGTTTATTTTTGAATCATTCTGCTCTATATCATTATCTTTCACTTTGCCTCACACTTGCCCTCCATCTGTTGGAGATTAAAATACTCCCTCCAGGCTCGCAATTAGGCAATCAGAGGGCTATCATTCCGCCCCAATAGGCTCACAAGGTCAGCCTCGTACCGGCGAGGGTAGAGAGACGGGGGGACACTCAGTCCCACTGATGTCACAAGCGAGGGCTGCTGTTCATTAAAGTTACTGTCTAATCATAAAACATAGCATTTATGTTCCATTTTTTTTAAATAGTCTGCTGTCTGTCACTGATGACGTTTGATGTTTGTGGATAAAATAAGGACATTACTTTGATATTATATATATAACAGTCTAATACTGAATGTTCCTAGGAATAATAAGATGTATTCTGGATTGAAATTCTCACTATCAGCTACACTTGCTGATTTAAAAAGAAAAAATATGGCCTCAAACACCAGGTGAAAGTGTTTTTAATCTTTGTAATCCACCATATGTGACAGTTGATGTGAAGTCAACACGTGTTACGACCACTCTGTGTGTTAAGGGGGGGGCCTTAACACACAGAGTGATAATAGCCTCACCAGCCAGAGGTCACCTTGGCAGCAGTGCCCTGATGTTAACATGTATAATTTCCCTACACTTTTAATGGAGTTTCTCAATTTTGTAATTTTCTTCATCTAGTTGGAGATACTTTTTACAGACACATACACATGTTAACCAACATAACACATACAAAACAAAGAAATAAACGATATGACAGGTACTGACACACATACCAACAACTACTGGTGGAAGAAGTATTGAGAGTAGAATATGCTTACATACGTAATATAGCACCATGCATGTTCTTTAAGGGACAAACGTAACGACTTATTAACAATACATTACATTACTACTGATGAATAACATCATTATTAGTTATGATTGGTATTAGTGTCATGACTTTGAAAGACTACTGTAGGTTCTTCTGCATAGTTTTATCAAAAACTATGGCTTTTAAATTGATTAATAATTATAGCTGCCAAATACATATGGTATAGTAAAACAAAAACACCTTTAATATGGAGGTTGGGAATTGTAAAGTATAGCATAAAAAGGGAAATGTTCAAGTACCTCAATAATGAATAAATGTTCTTGAGAAAATGTACTTAGTTACTTTCCACCATAAATGACCAAAGTCCCTACCATCTCCTGACGGTCTTCCACTTGCCTCAACTGTCTTTCTATTCAAAGAATATATGTTTCCTGTGTAGAGCTAATGTTGGGGTTATCATCCAGATGCAAAACTTGCTGCACTGTGTGAAAATATCAAAACCTATGAATAACGCAGTTTTACAACTCCCTTTACTAATTGCTTTTGGTGAAGTAGAGAGATATAGCGAAGGAAAATAAGATTTAGGGAAGTAATCATATTATCTCAGTTTGTATATACATTTATTTTCCTTTTCTCTACATATACATTTAATTAAACATTATTTTAAAGCGCTATTATAAAAATGAATATAGTGTTACTATGTTTATTGCATGCGTGCATCCCTATGTGATGGTAGTTTTTTTTAAAATACAAGTCGTATGATATCGTATGAGTAACAGGAAACAAACAGGGACGGTGAAGTGACCGCCATGTCCTACCTACAGGCGATAACTGAGAGTTATTTGACTTTGCATCTGCGGTCGTGTGTGAGGGGGCTCACAGTAGGATGAACATCACATCTATTGATCAGGCTAATGTGGGGAGGAAAGGCTTCAGGCCACAGCAGCTGATCAATATACCTCTAATTACATGGGGCACTGACTGTGTGTATGTTCCCCCCCACACTCACAGGGTTGTGTATATAAATGCTGTCCCACTGAGGAATAGCTCATACACACAGATCACACACACATTTAACAGTTAGTTGGGAATCACTTTTTTGATTGCTTAGTGTTTTACTAACATTTTCACTGGCAGGACACAGGGACGCTGAGAAGGGATACAAGGAATTGGTAAGTATCCTCATATTTGTGTTGGCTCGTGTTTCCCTCTTTTATGCCTTTGCTATGTACACGGTTTCCCTTTAACCCGTCTTTCCTGAAGCCAATATATCCACTGATAGGTGAGACTAGATGTTAACAGGATATCTGACTCCCTGTGTGAGTGACTCCCTCTCAAGGCCATCAAATCCCAGCTTTTTCAGTTTTTTGTTCATTGTGTTAAATTACACATATGTAATTCTCTCCTATTATTGTCTGTGGCTTAGATTCTGATCTGAAACGAGCTCACGGACAATGTTTATTTAACTCTGTATCTGTCCTTCCCTTATTTACACCCACTGAATTGTCTCTCTTGTCGACAGGTTTTTACAGTCTGCCGAGGCTCCAACTGGCTAGAAGCTGTGTGATATGTTTGATATTCGGTTGTTCTTGTGCTTCATCGTGTCAACTAAATATCAGACATATTCCTACAGAGTCTGGCAAAAACTTCTGATCCTCGTACCTCTTATAAAAGACCCCTGAAGTCAGATGTTTGGGTATGGTAACTTTTGCAATCAGAGGATTGTTATCTACTGCTAAATATCATGAAATGTCATTGTTGTGTTCATTTGCAGTTTTATTGTAGTATCTTATCGTTCGTAAACTCAAAGACTGAATGCCATATTATTCATAGGGACATTCAGTATTTAACTCTGAAGCAGCACCTTTATCATGAAGGTGTGATAATTATTAACATTATCCTTACGTAGTAAATTAAAAAGTAAACAATAATGTCATTAAGTATCAAATGTCACTATAGAAATGGTCTTTGACTCTC